ATGATAGCTAGAAGTCTATATATATATAAGTCCTTCCAGCTATTACTTTTACTAAGTACTGGGAGCAACCTATTATCTTCAGTAACAGATGAACTCCCCTTTATGACGTTGAAGGAACAACTGTATATCTCATTTCTCCTTTCTCTTCCACCGCAGCTGCATTCTTTCCATGTGATCTGCTTGATTTCTCTGTTCGTCCGTAGTCTGTTCTCCTGGAAAGGGAACATTCAAATCTTCAAAAAGTCGCTGTAATTCCTCTATATTTGTTGCTGTTTTCCGTTTATTTCCCATCATAACCGATAGTCCAAATGGATAGAGCCATTTGTAGATTAATTTCCGCTCCCGAACAGCTTGTGTGTAACTCCTCCATCGTCTACGTTTAGATATTGTCTCTGCAGCAAGATCTTGAAAAAGTTCAACTTTTACTCCTTCGTATGTTAACTCCTGCAATTTGTTCAAAGCACGGAAGACATCTGTCTTTATTGTAAATGAGACAAATCTCACCAGTATGTCCCTTCTCCAGTTCTTTGATCTTCTCCCAACCCGATGAGCTATATCCAAATCCTTGGGAGTGATTTCGAGGTCTAGGCAAAGTCCTTGAATCCATTTTAAGATTATTTGTTTTAAGTCCTCCCCTCCTGTCTCAGATTCCTTAAAATGTCTCAGACGGATATTATAACGTCTCCCCCGATTCTCCTGCTCTGTCAGTTTGTCTGTTAATTGCTGCACCTGCCTTTCCAATAATTCATTTTTTGCTTGCAAATTCTGTGCCAGCTCAAATGCTGTATCTGCTGTTTCTTGTATTTTGCTAATATTTGACTTGACCTCCATTAAATTTCGTTCTAGAGGTGCAATTACTCCCTTCATATCACTTTGTAAGTCTTTTCTTAATTGTTTCATTAGCTGCCTCATCTCATCCTTATCTTTATTAGCTTTTTCTCGCCCTCGTCCCTTCGCCTTACCGGTCGCTTTTGCTCTCAGAACCCGATGAGCTGGATAGCTTTTTGTCTTCATCTTAGGAGACTGTGGCTTCAACAGGGACTCCCTTTGATGTCTTTTTTTTGTCTTCCCCATATCTAGGCAGCTTAGAATATTTTAACTCTCAGTTTATAAACATTCATGCTTAATTGTTTATTTTCCCAAGGCTTTGAGCGGAGCTGATCTATGCAGCCATTTTCGTTGGCTTGCAGACCACAACCCCCAAACAGTGAGCTTAAGTAATTTTATACTCTGGATGAAACAGTTGTTTAAAATGGAGGCTCTTACTATGGTAATATGCATAATTTCACTTAATTCATATTGTGGTAAGCCATCCCTGTTCATTTGGCCAAGTAGAAGCCTGCATTTCACTAGTATATGTGGTCAGTCTCCAGGGTGTTTCATACTACATGATGGCATTTGTAAACCATGAGCTATTGGAGCAATCCTATTCCCCCTTCTGCAGTAGATTTGTAAGGTACTATGTGTGAGACTAGAAGTCTATGTGTCCTTACTTGAAAATAAGCCCCACTGGGAATCTGATCTATCTTGGAGTAAGTAGGGACAGGACTGCACTGCCTGGCAGGGACAAAAAGTGTATCTTGGTCTTTGAGCAAGAACACGGGAGCAGGACAGAGAAAGCGCTGCTCACTAGGAAGGGACAACATGCAGCTTCGCTGTCTTCTTGTTGCCACAGTACCATTAGTGTATGCTTTACAAAATGCTAAACTAAAGATGGTTCCGTGTTTTGACAGGAGATACTCTCTTCAACACAGAGAGAGAATAATAAACTCTATAGCGAGAAAAAGGAAACAACGAATGGAGGGAATGAGGAAAAGAGAGAGGTAGGAATGACAATGCAATCCATTTGCTTTTGACTCTCATACCAAATATCTGCCACAGACTCTGGAATTCTGTATTCTGAAATGTCAACTTTAGTTATGAATTTACTTCAAAATATAGTGAGTGCCGTTCCAATATTTCCTTGCACAAATAATTTGCCCCAATCTTTCAACCAGTTTACTTGTTTTGGCTGGGGTACATACCACATGGTACCTAGGAACATTTTAGACTCGTCAAGAGCTGTGATGGCCACTGATTACCCAGATTTTTTTGCCACATCTCCAAATATTGAAAAGAAGAGAGAGAACAATAGCTATTACAATGGTGCCTTGCAAACACCAAGCAAAGCTTAGCCTTACATATTTATAGTATTGTCCTGTTAGTTTCTATAGATTCTCTCTCTCATATCCATCTGTGGTTTCTTGTACTGCACTAAAAGCAGGAAGACCCTCAAAAGAGCTTTTGTGACATATTGATTGAGCCTAATGAGACTGTATTTCATAGCACTAACTACTAGGCACAAACATAATGAATGGACATCAACATTTATGTTAACCAAGGAAAAAAGTGAATTGAAGTTATACCCTTAAAAGACTGAGAAGGCTGTTAAAACGATCCACTTCCTGTCCGAGGACTGTAGTCAGGGAGTCCACCCGCCCTTTGTCATCCTTCACAAAAAGTGTCTCTATAGCAGTGTCCATATCAAGTTTTTCTGCAAAACAAACATTGCTTTGATTGGTTAAAAAAGCCTATCCATATTGTTATATGGCTTAAATTCTACTGATATTCCTAGTTAGAGCAGACCCATTGAATTGATGGTGATTCACTAAATGGTGTGTGAGTGCTTATATAAATCCCACTGATTCATTGGGTCTACTCTAGTTAGGACTACCAAATGGATTACAACTCATACATTTCAAATTAACAGCCACAATTTCTGTTTGTTTTTAAAACAAATTTCTTACTTTTAGTGCAGTAAGAACTCAAGGGTCAGAAAACAACATAAGATTTGCTAACTAACTTCAGTTGCACAAATAGAATGAGGCAAAGGGCCATCTAAACTCCCACTTGTCTATAAGATTCTTTGGCATCACTATATACTTTGCTGAAGCTATTTATTTAAGCATGCTTCCTGTTACAAATACTGGAATGTAGGGATGCAATTCTCTCTTACATCATCCCTGCAGAGAAGGATTTGCCAATTTTTTTTCACTTTGCAGGCATGGATGGTAAGGAATTTTATGCAGCTATTGATAGAGTCCTCAAGATGACAAAAATGTTTTGTGCATGAAAATGCTCACTGTTGCACAAATTTGCCAATTTTTCTGCAAAATCGTAGGCTTTCTACAAATTTGCCAATTTTTCTGCAAAATTGTGGGCTTTCTCCTGCAGAACTGTGCAGTTCACCATAGATACAAGGGGGTCAGACTAGCTACTATACGTCACGAATGGCATATTTAGAAATCTTTTTAAACTCAAAAGTGTATTCCTATGCTTTCTTGCCTCATTGTAAGACCCATCAAGCTGAGTGAGATTTCTGTCTAAGAAAACATGCACATAGCTCTCTAAGCATGTAGAAAATAACAAGCTTCATTTCTAGACACCATAAGCCCTAGAGATGAATATTGCTGAAAGATCAACTGACAAATTATTTAATAAAGCTTGGCAACCACTTAATATTTTTTTCCTGTCGGTTACCTTTTAGCTTTGAATAACTAAATAAAGGAGATATTTTGTATATATTTATTTAAAACAACTTTTTCCCCCCAACTAAACCATAAAAACATGATATTCTTCAACACAACAACCTGTCCCAAAATATGAACATAAAACATCCAGTAACAACCCATCTACACTTTTCAGAGGAAGAATCCAAATAAACTGGAGTTTTAATTCAAAAGAATAAACTAGTTGTCCAGCATCATGTTGCTGGCCTCACTGATGAACACATGACTTTCAGTCCATGCTGGGCAAAGCAGTCATATAGCCATGGAGTTACTAGATGTTCAGGCATTCTTTAGACAGCAAATATGACTATCCAAATTCAATAATAAACGAAGCCCAGCACTGCTTTAGTGATAGATCTCTTCAAACATTAAGCAAAAACAATAAACAGATAAAATTTAAATTATTTCAAAGTGTCGAAGTGCACCAATACTTTTTCCTCACAATAACATGGTCTACTGGAGTTAGTTCAGAAAGAAAATGCTGCAGGCAAGTAATTCATCTTGACTTGTTTGTGTTTTAGCTGCATAATGATGAGTGCCGGAGAATACTTGTGTTTTAAATGGATTTTTGCTGTCATAATTGTTTAGAAGATTGTTGTGTTCACCCAGCCAAAGAGCAAGAGGAGACAGCAAAACAATAAAAGGCATCCTTTATTTTGCTAAAGAAATCTCCATGGTTTTCTGTACCAAAAGCTTACTGTGACAGCTTATCCTCTCTCTATAATCTTAATGTGAGTTTGCTCTGTGAAAGAGCACATCAGTCTTCAAAAGGATGAAAGTCTATACAGATTCATTTTCGAAAGGATTCCCTAAACCTCTCAGATATCTTTTTTTGGGGGGAAAATGATGAACATTTACTTCCATTGATATGTGAAACATGGAAATCTGTCCCTTTGCTACATATCCTAACCTTTTGATGACTCAAGTTCTTAAGAAAATGTAATTTATTTTCTCAATATATAGTAATTCCAGCCAAGCAATAGCAATTTACATGTGGATTTGATGTAGTGGAGGACACAGCTGGCTGCTGTACAGCAGAGAACTGTATCCAGCAAGCTACGTTGATATACATCACAACTATCCAGAATGCAATCTTGGAGTCTCATTGAGATGTAATAGCAAAGACATAAAATCAAGGTTTGTGCTCTCTATGTATAATCAGTTCATTGTTAGGGTTTTAAATCCCTTTAAATCTACCATAAGAGTTTCCCAATGTTTACCAAGCAAGGGCAAAAGTAATGTTCCAAAGCATTGTTTGGCAGTCTTGAAAATAGGGGATCATGGTTCTGTTTGCCTTTTCTGAAACACAGGCCTTGTAGTTTGTGACTGGAGCAATCAGGCCAGAAGGGGGAGGAGAAAATGCATATTAATTAGGAGGCCATGCCCTCTGTGCTTTATCTCTGGGCCAAAGCTCATTCCTTGGTACTGAGCTAATTAGCAAGAATAGTTTCAGCTGAAGTGAAGGCAGGGAAGAAGAGTTATTCTCTTGTTCAAGAAAGTTCAGAGTGATCCAATGCCTCATTGGTACGTATAATTGAAGGGTTTAGAAACTGGATAGGTTCCGGTTTACGAATTTTTTTACATTAGATAATGTCCTGGAAAACACATTAATTTTGTAAACTGAGGTACGCCTGTACATGCTATATATGTAAGATAAGTTCCCTCTCTAGTTTAAATCTATGGGCCAAAGAGTCATTGAGACCTCCAATAAAAGTGTTTAACATATGTATCGCTCATGATCATTTGTCTTCTCTTTCTCCTTTTCTTAAAACAGGAGCCATAAGAACACAGGGGTGCTTCTTCTGATGCTATTTACTTTGGACTGGAACATGATCTACACATTTATACAAGGACCAATGGTTTAGATAAAACTACTTATGATAAAGTAGACCGTATAATTTTAACACCTGGATATCTCCAAAACGTGAGAAGCAAGGAAATCTATCAGCAGTAATATTAAGATAACCTTAAAAAGCTATGGTAAAGATGAAAATCTGATAAAGATACAGTAACTGTGAAAGCTTGCACTGTTCTGCCTTTTCAGTTGTCCTAGCAAACCTATCATTTATGTTTTGAGCCAACACAGCTTTCCTTTCTTTTGTTTTAAAAATGAAAGCAATGCTTTCCATACCTGGAATTTTTGCCAGGATTGAAGTAGCAAGCTCTTCAACAATCTCGTCATTACTTTTTCCTGATCCTTGGGTTGTGGATCGTGGTTGTACATCAAGTATTGTAGTGATTAAGGTATTGGTTTCTTTGCGCTGTAATAATGACATGAGAAAATAGCACACTTTTAACTTGCTATGGAATATATTAATTTTAAAGTTATTCGTGTTGTTAAGTTTTGCAGGATGTGAAAATAAATTATTTATATTTCAATCAATAAAATTTCTATGAATTTGTCTACAGATTTACCGTTTCCCCGAAAATAAGACCTAACCTGAAAATAAGTCCTAGTATGATTTTTAAGGATGCTCGTAATATAAGCCCTAACCCAAAAGTAAACCCCAGTTAAGTGAAACCCTGCCCTCCACCATTGTGCAGCAACCAGAAGAAGATGACATGACTGTAAAATAAAACATTCCCTGAAAATAAGCCCTAATGTGTTTTTGGAGCAAAAATTAATATGAGACCCTGTCTTATTTTGGGGGAAACACAGTAACTGCTACTTTGCTATGAGAACATGTACACTTTATTTTGAATAAAAACTTTCTTCAGCCAGTCAGAGACCGTTCATACAATAAAATGCTACTAAATTTTGCTGCCTATTTATCTTGCTAACAGACAATATAAAATCCTTTCCCTAGTCCTAAAGTTTACTATAGCCTGTCTCTTTACTGAAGACAGGGTTTGTGGCTGATGGCATGCCAACTCCCCATGTTTATGATACTGAGCCTTCAGCTTCTTGCTGCTTTTTAATGATATACAGTATAATGATTGATAAGCCATATGCAAAAATGAACTCATGTAATAAAAAAACTTTTTAAAATGTTGGACAAAAGGTACATTACACTTGACAGCTGACTCTGAAAATTTAAAATGAGATGAAGAAATGATAATTCATTTTAATAATATTTGAAATATAAAATGCAATTTATTAGCATCCTTTGTTGTTATTAAGAGGCTTCTCTAAAAAAAGGGGGGGGAATACTTTTGAAGCTGGCAATATTGTTGTCAGTGTTTCTATACGTCAATATAAGCAACAGTGACTTATATGAAATCTTCCACCAAATTACTTTGGTAATAATAGCAATTCTTCTGATATTAATTGGGATCCTTTGGATCACATGTTCTATAGCCACTAAACTATGCCGCGTAAGGCTGGTGATGTCATCAGTCACGGCAATTTCTCAGAAATAAAAAAAAGTCCAATCCCATTCCCCTCCAAAAAGCTTCTAAGGCTACCATAGAACTCTCTGCATTGCTAGGAAGCTGTTGGAGGCCATGGAGGGAGATGTCTTTAATTTCTGAAAAACTGCCATAGCTGTGCAAACAGGATTTTAGCTATTATGAGTTGTAGTAGCCAACCAAGTGTCTGTTCAGTCAGATTTCTAAAGCCTAAAGCTCTCTGAGCGAATCCTTCTATTTGTAAGAATTCAAGTTGACATGGAACTTTACGGTGAGTACTTCAAGGGCAAAACTATCCTCTACTCACAGTAATCCACTACTCCTCCCATTCCTAAGATGTCTTGTGCCTCAACAATGGTGAAACAATGAAACCTACACAGTTTCAGTGAAATGTTGGATGTGCTGGTGAAATAGCAGCTACTTAATCCAATATACAAATAACTAGCATTTTGACAATGAAGCGCAAAGGGCTGTATTTCTTTTTATGCAAAGTATCTGGAGAAAAGCCACAGCTGTATTTGGATATTCATTCATGGCTTCTGGCTGTGATTACACTGGCAAGCCAGATTGCTCCAGTTCAGCTTTGCCATGATTTGATTTACAGTCTGTATTACAGTTGTATTCACAGTCAGTGATAACACAGGGGCTGCAGACTGATTTGGGAGACCAGTGTTCACACTCAATGTGATGTAACAACCCCCCTTTTTCTCCTTCTTTCCTCCAGTCCACAGTTTGCTTTAATTACACTAGAATTCACCAATCCAAGTGTAACAGAAAACTCTGGATTAACATAAACCAGGATTTCTACATTGGAAACTGGAATATGGCAGGAGGAGGCAAGAAACACACAGTCACAAGAGTTGTCCATGGGTTCATAAACTATGGTTTATGAACCTGTGGGTAAACATCTAAATGTAGCCCATGGAGCCCTATGCAGGAACATGGTCAAGCTTAATTGCAGTTTTAATGTCAAATGGGGCTCCTGTATAACTAAATGGATATTTATAATCCACTTCATTAAGGGACTGTTAACTCATGATTTGATGACAAACAGGACATTAAAAAAACCCAGCAAATAAAACTTCAGAATCTCCCGTTTTAGATAGTCTCTCATTTTTCAGTGGGTAGAATCCTATTCCTTTAGCCTGCTGTAAGTCCATAAGCATAAATTTCAGCAGTAAATTGTTGCTAGACAGGAGTCCTTTCACAAATGACAGAAAAATGCAACCCCCAATCTCCTAAATGGTGGCAATTTGCCACTGAAATTTACACTGATGGACTTAATGCTAGATTCCAGCCAGCAGAATCTGCCCTACTGCAACATGGTTTTCTGACCTGAAACCTATCATCTAGGAATTCGAAATGGGGGTGGGGGGAAGAGAAAGAGAAAGGCAATACATTGTTGCATTATAAAGACTAATGGATTGATTTCCATGTGAGCTTTCATGGATCAAAACCCACTTCTTCAGACATAATGTCTGTCTCTTTCTCATTGCTTCGTTATTGTCTGCACTGTGCCATCATCTTCATAATGGCTGCATTTAAAGTCTCAATTCACATGCAGGGAAAAAGCAGGGCAAGAGCAAATCATCAGGGAGTGCAGGGCTACGGCTGGATTTTGCAATGATCAGTCTGAAACATGTCGTTTGCAAGTGTTTCATTAGCCCCCCCCCTTTTTGCTATAAATAGCCTTCTTTCTTTGACAAATATTACCAGGATTTTTTTTCTTGAGGTAAAAAAAAATCTCAGTACCAGCATGTTATTTAATGCAGGTTGACAAACTTCTCAATTAGCATGTATAATGGCCAGTAACTGCATTTGCATTATGATAATGAGCTGAGGCGTTGAGTTGAGTTGAGTTGAGTTGAGTTGGGTTAGCATGTATAATGGCCAGTAACTGAATTTGCATTATGATATTGAGCTGAGGCGTTGAGTTGAGTTGAGTAGGATATGTACAGGCCAGATGGGCTACATGTTCAGTAATAAACTGACATGTGAAGCATCTCCTGTTTGGCTGGTGGAATCAAGCTGGCCAATCTATTCAGCTGACTCACATAAACTAGGATGATCATCAACAAAAGGCTTAAAAAGTTGTTTCAGGTCTCATTACGGAACCTGCATTATAGATAGCAATATAAATGTATTTGATATGGACAGACTGTCAGTTAAACATATTCCTGTAATCAAAATCTGAAAGCCTTTTAGAGCATAAATATCAAACAGTGACAATACTGATGATAATAAAAGGTGATGTTAGCATAAACTGTTGAGCTTCCTTCAAGCAGCTGAGCAGAAAATAATTTAAAACTATAGAGAATTCTTTCAATGCTGCCTACAGGGATGAGTACAGCTTCAGCAGGTATGTACTGACTGCTTAGCAAGTACAGTGTGTTATTTCTTTTTAATAAACAACTAGCATAACAGTATATTAAATTCCTCCTTTAACATTAAACTACAATTTATTTACAGTTTGAGCAGGAGGTTGGACTCAGTGGTCTTGTAGGCCCCCTCCAACTCTGTTATTCTATGATTTAACTTCTCTTGCAAGTTAAATATAAATTAAGAATAATTTATTTTACTTATGAAGCACAATATATTTATCTTTATTGTGTCATAATGTTAAGTATGTTCACAAACCTGGAAAGCTAAATTAGCATTTTCATGCATTCCAAATATTTCTGGGTCATCGATCAAAGGAAGGTTTTCAATATAGTCTTTAAAATCTTGCAAATTGTCAGCCACTGGGGCAAAATAAATACCTGTTGTATCAGAAGACAAACATAGCAGAATTAACTTTTGCTTAAACTCAAATGAATGACAATATCACATTGTATGTGTTTTATGTGATCAGCCATTTAGTCAAGAACAATTAAATAAATATCAAAATAATCATAGTTTTCAAAAACATTTTGAAGATAAATCCTTTTTTTCCCCATAGGGAGTGACTTGCATGTGTAAGATTAAGATTGCTCAAAGTGACTGCAACTCAAATGCTGAAAAATGTCAGGCTAAATATCGACAATAGCATTTATACGTCTTAGCATTTCATAAGAATAGAATGTTTTGACATAAATGATTCTTTCCTTTGTTTCCTGATGCCCTTAGGAAACAGAGCAGAAGATATATTTGCATGGAACACTGCCTAAATGGAACAAACCTCCTCTGAAAGAAAAGCAGTTGAACTGACCTAAAATTTGGTAATTATAATGAACAACATCTTAAAATACTGTAATATATATAGCAAAATTAAAATAACAAATAAAAGCAATGAGAAATCAGTTAATGGTTAACTGTTGTTTAAAAGGTGTTAAAAAAAAGAAAAAGACTTTACCTGGCATCTAAAAGAGAACAGTGTGGGCACCTGATAAGCATCCTTGGAGAGCACTGGGGCAAGGTGCCCTCACTGACAAGGCTCTCTTCCCTGTTGCCAGTTTCCAGTTCCCCTATTCTTCTAGTGGAGAATAGTGTTCCCAGTGAAGTATGAGTAAAAACACAAACTACTACTGAGTAAGCAGTCTGAAGATAAACCCTCACTACCTCACAACCAGCGCTTCTGGGAAATGTTCAGCTGCTTGGCAACAGATATAACTTGAACAAAATTGACTCTTAATTTCAGTGCATTGACAGCACAACTACCAGCTGGCAAGAAGGAAACATTTCTGCAGCTGAGATTGCAATGCCTGGTCAGAAATAATTCCTGCCTGTCAGTATTATGAAATGGCTCTTCTACCAAGTGACATCAAATTATCTTCCCAGCACTCCTTCCTTCCCCTCACCAATAAATACAATAGAACTTATGCAAGGAGTCGAATCTTAAAAGGGGTTCACATACAAGTAAGACACTGGTAATATATCCTTTAAATGGATAACATTTTGTGATATATATATGGAAGTATATCAAAAAGGCTCTATAGTATTTGGGTCTAACTGAGATAGCTTTAGGGTAAGTGCCTGAATAAGTGCCATAGGTATGTGGAAAAGTAGTCTAATAACAGTTACATGGTATGTATCATCCTATATAATGGCAATGTGTTACTTCGGAGAATAAGTAATGATAATAAAGCACAAAGACATTTCAATATTTCTTGGTCTATTTCATGTGTGTCAATACCTTCAAGAGAGTTTGCAATTGTCACTATCTGCTTTCACCTAGGTCTCTCTTCACTTTTTTCTGCTTTCTTATCTATTCATGTCTCAGTTTGGCTGCAATCAGTATAGTAGTTTCTTATGGGTGTGTCCCTGTCTGACATCTGGCAGTAAGATTTGCTTCAATGAAAGATAAGATGCACCTATTAATGCCTCTTGAATCAACAGGTGGACAAGAATATGATTCACTTAGAAAAGAATTGCTTTATCATGGGAGAACATGAAAAAACACTTACGTGTCCTGACAGAAAGAGAACCAGGCTGAGGCAATATAACAGTCAAACAGCTGCAGTGAGTTTCCATTTTCAAGACAGGAAGGTAAATGTTACAAAGACCTAGGGACTGTGCCAATTCACCTGAGCCAAGTTATTAGCAGAATTACTTCCTCATCACTGAGCTATGAAGGTGGAAATGATACGGAAAGAGCTAAGAGCTTGTGGTACCCTTTTGGTTCAATCATAACTATTTATAATTAGGGATGCTGGTGGTAGGCTGAGGGGCCTGTGGCCCTGCAGAGTTTGCTAAACTCCTGTTCCCACCAGCTCTAGATCATGTGGCCAAAGATGAAGTAGTGAAAGTCATCGTTCATCATTTGAGACCTGAATGTTTTATACCTCTGGCCAATAGCAAACTGCTCACACAGCTCTTGCACGGGTCATGCATGAGCAGATCATGACCAAGAGCAGTCCAAGATGATGTCACTTAAGCAGTCCTCTCACACGCAATAGAACCCAAATCTAAGAGGAGGGCCAGATTGGCTTGAAGACAAATGAATAAAGCAGTAAGCTCTAAAAGACACAGGCAGAATGTGGGCTATGAAGGACAAGCTGTAGCTGAATGATATAGTGGCTGGGTAGCTGGGAGAGCACAGAGAAGAAGAAAGCATGCTGGCTCTAATGAGGCCAACCAAACACTTATGCTGTCTGGGAAGGCATCTGCATTACTGGGGTGTCAGGAAGAAGACCTTTGGTAAAAGTTAGGGAGAAGGCAGGAGGGGGTCCATGGGAGGCTACCAAGGAGGTAAAGTTAGGATCCTCTTCTTTCCTTGGTCTGTGAGGGGAATAGGAGGGTTTCATCTCATGTATCTTCCCTTTTAATAATTAAACCATGGAAAATAACTGGGTGTGTGTGGCAGTGTGAAGGCCACTCATTACAATATTTCACAAACCTTGAAAACATATTAGGGTCATCATCAACCAGATGCAACTTGTTGGTACACAACACACAAACAACCACAGGGCCTATTTAGGTAGTGTTTAAACTCTTAACTGGCACTGCTAGTAGCAAAAGTCAGAGGAACGAAGCATTAATTTTTTAATATCAGAATGTTTTGGGAGAAAGAAGCTTGGGCTGTTTGGTGTACAGATAGCTACTTTCCATCCTGATTCCAGTGGAGAGTTACATAACTATGCCCCCCATCTGCCTAACTACAGGGATAGGAGTGCATTCATTGGTAAGGGATCTAAATCTTCAGCACAAAATGACAGAAAAGATCAAATCAGTTGTGGAACTCCCCACCTCATGGCTGTACTTGTCTGGAAACCAGGCAGGATGTTTGACTTAACTAGCAGGATCAGAGCAGCAGGAAACGATATCATCCCTTGCCATTCAAGACAAAGAATCATACCATCAATGCAGATCTACACAAAGGCTCACAGAAAGCACAGGAATCTAGGAAAAATACCCACAAAGACGGAAAGGATACAAACATACATCAAATGTTTGTGACTGAATGTTGTTTCCTAATGGTTTGGGATGAGTGTATAGCTTCCTTCTTGTTTGTCTTTGCCTGTATTTTCTCCAATTACACAAAAAACAAAAATACTCAATCCTTGTGGAAACTGTGTCTGTTCTACACTTTGATGCCAAGAGACAAAGCTAGATCCTTCTTCTGTTCTGTACATAAGAGGTGCATTTTCTGTTGACATTAGGGTGCAAAAGTGCAAGACCAAGAAACTAATGTAAAATACAACCCATCAACTGCCCACATTAGGATGCCCAGTGGAGACACAGCTTAAGGACAGAATGAAAATCCCCCTGGAGCCCATGGTAATAATAAACAAAAGGGTTCCCCTTCTAACTTGACAGTACCTGTAGACCATCCCAATCTCTGTTTGATAACCGAGGCACCCTTAGATAATGCCCAGAGTAACCCTCCTGATATTATTGAAATAAATTCAGTGGCAAGTTGAATGCCTGACTTAGAATCATCCATGCATTATCCTGCTTCAAATTGACAATTTGCAATTCAAAGTGAGCACCATCTAAAATGTATTTCATGGAATGTGTCTGGCTGGTTGAACAAGATTCAAAATCCAGCATTTTTGTCATTTATGAAAAGTTTTGATATTATCTTTATTCAGGAAACATAGTTATTATCTGAGTTGTTATTGAATGGATTTACTTCATATACTCTCGCTGCAACTCCTGCAGTAGCTAGAGGTCGTCCAAATGGAGGGTTGGCTTGTCTGATATCCACCTCAGTGGTCTGTGCTGTTTTACTACTACCATCTTTAAGATCAATTGCAATGGTTGTTCTCCTGACCTTCAAGGATTGGGAAATTTGGTTGTAAATGTTTATATTCCACCTTATTCATCTCCTTTCTACTCTGAGCATTGCTGGTCTGATTTAGAAATGTACATATATGATCTTGAGACAAAATTTCATGGAGCGCAAACAATAATGCTTGGAGATTTTAATGCACGTCTGGGCAACGGCTATTTTAGATCTGCCTATGCTGAGCAGATTGGTGACTTTTATAATCAGTCAAGAAATACGAAAGATCCCCTTCTGAATAAGACTGGAAAAAGTTTTTGGCAGCTGATTGATAAGCTAAATCTGGTAATATTAAATGGTAATTTCCAAGGTGATGAATTGGGGGAGTTCACATATTTCAGTA